GAACGACAGAGGTACAAAAGCCGTGACATACACATTTCTAGAATCACAGTCAACGTGTTTTTCTCCAACATATATTTGATGCAGATAAAGTTACGTTTACCCAGTGCGGTGATTCATAAACACGCTTTCTGCATACTGGGTCTAGAGAACTCAATTGAAACGACCAGTGTGTGTAAATTTTGGACATTGAAATGACGTAATTGTGCTAGGAAAATGTTTGCCACAGCGACAACTTAGTTATATATTCCAAATACAACGAATCTCTCAAAAATGTCATTTCTTTCATTGAAGTTCGACCTCAGGTTCATTCACCTGTGCCATAGAAATGCGTCTTCCAGGGGGCGTGATTTAGCGGAAGATCGTGGGGTATTAGGTAAAGCAAACATTGACAAGAACAAGGGTCACTTTTTAAACACATACGACAAGTATTACACAGTTTATTTATATGCGTTATAGAACCTGTTTGCAACATTAACTCAGTAACGCCTGGCATTCAATGTGTATACATTTAATTACGCATGTCATTATTGCTCTCCCAGTGTAACCTGTTACACCTCCTCTATAAAAACGCCTATACGACATTTCACTCAAAACACCATTGCCAGCAACATATCACAAATGGCACAATCGACTCCACCTCATTGAGCCAAATAACTCTATTAAGTGTTCCATATCTTCTCCAGTCCTTTATATTTTACATGTGATTAAATTTAGTTCATCTTGCAATATTAGTAACAGAAACAAAATAATTTTATATTTGTCGTAGGGATTCACTCTGGTACGAGGATACGGACTTTCAATATCGCATTCATTCATTTATGATTATGATTAATGTGGTTGGAAATTCGACGAACAGACACAAATAAGGGGTCAGATTTATGTTATAAAGACGCAGACGCTAGCAGAATGTCTGGAAGAGATATTTTGATCTTGGGTATTTTGAACTATATCGTCACAGGTAAGTATTTGAATTTGTTGTTACCGTCCGTAATGATACGACGCGATGTCAATACGTGTATTTATTTGTGTGTTGGAAGTATAAGTGTATATATTGTTTCCAAAGGCTAGGCTCATTCATCAACAAGTTTGCAGATAACATCGAAGCAAGGTTTAATTGTGTAAAATTGGCAAAATAACATGTGCAATAAGAGATTTCCATTATATAAACCGCCCCGTTTCTGCACAATACACAAGTACTGTCGGGTTCAGATTTCGAAGATAACCTGTGTATGTATTGCGACATGGGCACGATATAGGCTCGTTACATGTAAACATGGAGCATATAATCTATGCCAAATAGTTGCTGAATTCATATCATGACAGCGTTTTGTTTCAGACGATGTTTTTCATATACTACTAGAACTTAATATTTTGGATTTTTAATTAAACTAATATCTGTTTTGGCAGTTCAGGCTTCGTCCATACCCGAGTTAAATACAAGGAAGTGTTTAATAAGTTTGTATTTCCTTGCTTTTATTACGAGCCGATTTGGTGACTCTCATCTACGTTATTTTACGAGATAATACACAGTAAATCTCTAAAATTACGTTTAATAGAATGTGAGTCATCGGGATAAGGCCAACTATTCGGAATCACATCGTATCATTATTCTTAAATGGCATGTAAAGACGAGCGTCAAGCAATCCTTAGGGTTATACGTCGAAAATATTAAAGCAATCTGTCTTCATTCGCGTACAGGGACTATATATTGTCGTTGTTTATTAATTGCCCAACTGTTCAGAATCACATCGTATCACCGCCAAGGCATGTAACGTATGCGTAATTGTTTCTTTGTCTTCAGTAAATACAACGCCGGAAACTAGTTCATCCATACCACCTTACTCATCAACAGTTACCATGCCTACTAATGAGTCTAAATCGACTACATCCAAACAACCAGCAACAAAGTCACCCAGTAGCAAAGGTACGCAATATTCCACAGTTCAGATACCTTACGGCAAAATTGTGTTAACAACAATGAATATATTACAATGTCCAACTCATTTTCTCCCATAGAACCAGCGACAACTAAATTCATGCACGAGATGACGTCAGAGGTCAGTGATTCATCGACAGTTACTAAACTGATTACTGAGAGTAACACAGGTAAATAAAACACAATTTTATTTAAATGCACGATTCGTGTAAGTCTGACTACCATCCAGTCAATAAACTAATCGACAACATCGGAAAACAATAATATCTGTTCTCTTAAATGGGAAATAAAAAGATTATTTCGGCAGTGTAATATATCCCACTGGTAAATTTAAAGAATTGTTTGTTTACATTTTTAATTATTCGACATTTAATGACACCAATCGGTACATTAACAACAACATTTGCTGGAAGTATAAGTGTATATATTGTTTCAAAAGGCTGGGCTTATATATTAGCAAGTTTGCAGATAACGTCGAAACAAGGTTTATTTGTGTCTCACTAAATATTTAGTTTAAAATTGGCAAAATAACATTACAATAACATGTGCAATACGAGATTTCATTATATAAACCGCCCCTTTCACAATACACAAGTACTGTCGGGTTCAGATTTCGAAGATAACCTGTGTATGTAATGCGACATGGGCACGATATAGGCTCTTTACATGTAAACATGGTATCGACAATGGAGCATATGATCTATGCCATTTAGTTGCTGAATTCATACCATGACAGCGTTTTGTTTCAGACGATGTTTTTCATATACTACTAGAACTTAATATTTTGGATTTTTAATTAAACTAATATCTGTTTTTGGCAGTTCAGGCTTCGTCCATGCCCGAGTTAAATACAAGGAAGTGTTTAATAAGTTTGTATTTCCGTTTCCTTGTTTTTATTACGAGCCGGATTTGGTGACTCTCATCTACGTTGATTTACGAGATAATACACAGTAAATCTCTAAAATTACGTTTAATAGAATGTGAGTCATCGGGATAAGGCCAACTATTCGGAATCACATCGTATAATTATTCTTAAATGGCATGTAAAGACGTGCGTCCAGCAATCCTTAGGGACATACGTCGAAAATATTAAAGCAATTAATCTGTCTTCATTCGCGTACAGGGACTATATATTGTCGTTGTTTATTAATTGCCCAACTCACGGTTTAGTAACCGTGCCCAAATGTTCAGAATCACATCGTATCACCGCCAAGGCATGTAACGTATGCGTAATTGTTTCTTTGTCTTCAGTAAGTACAGCGCCGGAAACTAGTTCATCCATACCACCTTACTCATCAACAGTTACCATGCCTACTAATGAGTCTAAATCGACTACATCTAAACAACCAGCATCAAAGTCACCAAGTAGCAAAGGTACGCAATATTCCATAGTTCAGATACCTTATGATAAAATTGTATTAACAGTAATGAATATATTACAATGTCCAACTCATTTTCTCCCGTAGAACCAACGACAACTAAATCCAAGCACGAGATGACGTCAGAGGTCAGTGATTCATCGACAGTTACTAAACTGATTACTGAGAGTAACACAGGTAAATAAAACACCATTTTATTTAAATGCACGATTCGTGTACGCCTCTCTACCATCCAGTCAATAAACGACAACACCGGAAAACAATAATATCTGTTCTATTGAAAGGGAAATAAAGAAATTATTTTGGCAGTGTATTATATCCTACTGATAATTTTAAAGAATTGTTTGTTTACATTTTTTAATTCTTTGACATTTAATGACACCCATCAGTAAATTAACAACAACATTTAAGATACAGACACAAACTAGCTTGTTTAATGCATTCATCTCAAACATCCCGGCAATTCAATTCAACGGGTTATCTAAATTGAAACTGAGTTAACACAGTCGTATTATTACTTTTTAAATATGCAATTTGTGTGTATCTAACTTACTCAACTATCAGTATTTTTTCATTGTGACTAATGTAATTCAACTTTAATTATAGGTTCTCATCTGCAATGCCCCACGATAATGAACGACAACAATAATGCAATCGAGACTATTGGCATTGGTGGACGTTGTTATTGGTTTGGAAAAAATAAATCAACATGGAATATTGCTAGTGAGTGGTGTGAACATGAAACACGTGGTGGACATCTTGTAAAGTTTGACAATGAAGACGAAGAGCGTGAGATTTACGAGTATATAAACATTAAGACTCTATACTGGACAAGTGGTATCTGCACACCATTAAACAAAACATATTACGATTGTAGTAAAAAAGAAAACTGGGTTTGGTACACTGGTGATAGTAGTAAGTAATATTCCCAGTGTTCATCTTCACTTACATGCTGCTTGTGTGAAATTGAAAACAATAGCTAGTATAAGCCCGTCTGTCATGTACTGACCACAACTGGTGAGATTATATTATCAAATACATGGAACAAGTGGAATAATATAATGTCCATAACAAGAGTTATAGAAATGTATGGTGCAAGTAGAATAACATTATCTCTCCGTTGATGACCGGTTCATGGAGATAATATTATCCCTGAGTGGTCTCAACAACAAGCTTAAGGGAGTAAATATTATCCCTGGCTTGTCCCAACAAAAAAACGAGATAATACTATCCCTGAGTGGTCCCAGCACCAAGGGAGATAATATTATATTCCAATAACAGATTCATAGTTATATAGTGATTTTCAAAATATTTATAATTTTGGATTAAATTGCGCTTTTTGATTAATATTGCATTCCATGTTCCTAGAAAACACTGTTATAAGCTTAAATATGTTGTATAGTCTTTATCCATTTTTAGAGAAAACGTTTCTATTTTACACACACAGGTTCATTGATGTCATACGATAATTGGTCAGATGAAGAGCCTTCAAGTTCTAATGAAAAGATGTGTATGGTTTCCACAGGTGGTCCTCATACTACTGAAAGGAAGTGGTGCTCAGAAGAATGCAGCGTTGCGTTAGCATTTATATGTGAATTCGGTAAGATTGATACGTGCAATTTTCTCCTGGTTTTTCATGTTGAAAATTCCCGATTGTACCCTTTTTATATTTCACATAATTTCTTCACAAAGAAGATCTACATAAGGCAAAGTAGTATGAACTAGTCTCCTTACACCAATAGCGTTTTCCGATCATAAAAAACACTTTATATTATAACACATTACACTCGACTACAGTTTGGCGCATACATTTAATCAATTTATGCATATTCATGTTTTGAAGATGTTAGGGAATAATGAGTACTTAAACAATAAATTCCATATCCCGTAATGGAGTTTTCTAGATTATACATTCGTGAACAAATTGAAAACAATAAATAAGAACAACATAATACTAACATATCTGAATATCTGACGTAGTGTAACCTAGTAACATTTTTTTTGTGAGGTTTTACATGGTGGTACTGAATTCGAATTCATCTGGCATATGTTCTCTTCCTTTCATGTCGATGTTATATGTAATGAATGAAACAAAACTAGTCACAATTTGTGCATTGCAGAGAAAACCACTCCAAACGTTTCATCATCAACAACAACAACAACAACAACAACAGTACGTACACTGTTTACAATATCGTCTGAAGATCCCATGAACAGTACA